TTGGGCCAGACTTCAGTCTCGACCCAGATTACCATATATTACCCTTGGCTGACTTGGATCTGCCCATGGAGCCACTTCCTGAATTTGTTGATGTTATCGATTGGGAATCAGTACACCAAATGCAGAGCGACGATGCTGATTCTGAGTACAATGTCCCTGATGAATATTCTTCTGGAGGCGAGCAGGGGAGTTTGAATTCTTTCTCCTATGGAGATCCAGAATGTAGTTCAGATGACAGTATGGATGAGTGCAGAGATGATTTCCGTCAGTCCAAGAAGAAAAAACACCGGGCTGAAGTACGTATCTTCGAGCTGTTGTGTTTTGCCATCTATTTTTAGGGGTTGCTAACCAGTTTTGTTTTTCTTTTTAACCAGAATCCAAAACCATAATACAACGAAACAATAATATAACGTAAAACCAAAAAGCAACAAAAAGTTATTGAAATAAATCACTAGCAAAAATTGAGGAAAATTAAATTCAGTAAAATACATTCAAAGAAGATGTTATATCCATCAAGTTTGTATAAGTTATTCTGCTATCCGTATGGAGTTTTCTTTTATGAACACTGTCTGGAGTATTGGTTTTGGCCTCTTAGTTAAAAGCTTTGTTTCTGTTTGAAATTAGCTCATCCTTGGTAGGCGTTGGTTATCAATTTTTCAGTTTGGTTAACTGTTTTGGACCAGTTAACCACCCCCTATCTTTTCTGTTGCATGTTTGACGCGAAAAACCTTGTCCTGTTTACTTCACTGCAGATTGAGGTGACGACTTCTTCTGGAAGACGTATCAAGAGGAGGAATTTGGATGCTTGTGATGTAAATACATTGAGAATCAGCCGTAGTAGTAGGAAACCACACATTGTCCGCAAAACTAAGAAGAAAAAGTCCTCCAAATCTAATGCATTGATGAGACCTCAAAGAAAGCAAAGAGCTGCCGCTCAGCAGGCTCGTGACTTGTTAATCAAGGTAACAGCTGAAGATGCCGACGAAGATGAAGAATATTTATCTACTGGCGATGCATCGGATGGTGAGTCAACTGAGCATTCCGACATGGAGAGTGATGAATCAGAAATGTCATTGAGGAGCGATCGCATGAGGTACTTAAAAGGGAAGGCTTTGGCTGTGTCTGAAGATAGACCTCCTAAGGTTCACGAATCTCATCCAAATATTGCAATCAGGAAGAAATTGGTTCTTAAATTTCCAGTCCGTGATTCTAGTAAGATTACGGTGATGCCACAGAATGGTGATTATGTCGGATCAACATCTTATGCCCCAGAGATAGCCATGGAGGTCAACAACACTCGTGTAAGCTCTCTAGTTCCAGGGTACTCTTCTGATGAAGAACAGACAAACTATCATGACTGTGCCCAGGCTGAAAATCTTAAGAATGGGGATATCAGGTGGGGAGGTGCCAAGGTTCGTTCGTCCAAGCGTCAAAGATTGGGTGAAACCTCATCATTACCTCCACCTACCAAATGCATATTGCGTTTACCCAATATCAAAGAAAAAGACACCAGTACTGTTAATGGGTACCTGAGCACTCCTGAGAACCATGAAGATAAGACTGATGACTTGTCACCAGTGGGTGGTCAAAACATTGAATTTGATTCATCCGATGTATCAAATAATGGGCTCAACAAGGACCAGCCAATCGTCGTCACGAATGGAAACAATGATGAAGTGCCAGGTGTTGCTCACTTCGAAAATGATAATCTGCTGGAACTCAAAGAGAGCAGTCTGCCTGCCCCAACAAGGTTACGAATAAAGTTGAAACCTTTGACGATGGCGTCACCTGGAAGGCCTGCGGAGATAAAGCAGGACCCAGACCTGGTAGAAGCCAATGGTAGAACGAGTTCAGAATATTATGACGGTGTTGCAGTCCAGGGGTCAGGTGATCATGCTGACGAGAATTCTGCACCAACACTGGATGATTCATCAGCAGGTGCTGATTCACGCCCTAAAAGGATGTATGCTGCCGTTTATAGAAGATCAAAGTCAGTTAGGAATAGAGCTAACTCGGAATGTGACAGTGGCATGAAAGAGAGTACATCAAACCCCAGTGATGATGTCAGCGGTAGTAGAACGGATATGCTTACCAACGGAGTCCGTAGGACACGATCCATGGGAGTAAAAATTGCGAAAGAAGACCCCAAGATTTTGCAGAGTGATGAGCATGAGTTGGAGAATGCATATAGAGATTCCTCCAATGATCCTATTGACAGGCGGCAAATGGCATCTCAAGAATGGGGTTCTAGCGCCAGGTCAACCGTCAGAGTTAGATCTGCTAGGAATAGGAGAACCAATTACAGTTTTCATGAGACAGTTCAGCAATCAGCTGAGCCAGTATCTTGGTTAGTGCTGCCAAAGCACGAGGAAGGATCTCGCTATATCCCTCAACTAGGTGATGAAATAGCATATTTGAGACAGGTACGTATTTTTTCATTTATCAGTAGTCAGTACCTTAGATTTATTCCTTTAGCAAAGTTATATATCCTAGTGAGTCCATTCATGAAAATGAGCACTGAGATGGAATATAGCAGTAGTATGATCACTAAAAACTACCGATTAAGTTAAAAAGAGGGGCTCGGTTTCTAGAGCTTGTCAATTGTCATTGGACCTGGTGACATTGTGCTTCATCATCCCGGTGAACTATTCTGTGGCTCCATTAGATTCAATTCGACACTTGTTGGTTCATCCAGTTTGTCTAATAATCAACTTCTCAATCAAATTATCCCTTTAATTTCTTCGTTTTCACCATTTTGTCTTTTTTAAACCTCCTAAAGAACGTGGGCTATTTTAGACATGACACGACTATCATATATTTAATGATGTCTTGTACCTAAAAAATCAACAAATAGGAGGGATCGCTTATTCATCGTCAGAATTGTTCGTTTATATTAACAACATTTCACAAACACTTCAACTCCTACAATTTGCTTCCGCTGGCAACTTATTCAATAGACCATTTACCATTTAGATCGAACATTACAGTACTTTAATATTAATATTCTCGTAAGCTTCTGTTTTGTAGGGCCATCAGGAGTACATGGAAGGTTCTCGCACAAAAGAAGTTGGGCCATGGAAGAATGTGAAAGGGGGATTTATTAAGGCAGTTGAGTTTTGCAGAGTTGAAAGCCTGGATTACGCCACGCTACCTGGTTCTGGGGATAGTTGCTGTAAACTGATGCTTAGATTTGTAGATCCAACATCTGATGTCTATAACAAAACATTCAGATTGACTCTCCCTGAACTTACAGCCTTCCCTGATTTCCTTGTCGAAAGAAGTAGATATGAGGCTTCTTTGCAGAGGAATTGGACGAAAAGAGATAGGTGTAAGGTATGGTGGAATGACAATGAAGTACAAGGCCAATGGTGGGATGGCCGGATCCTTGGTGTACAGCCGAAATCATCTGAATTTCCCGACAGCCCATGGGAGAGATATACCATAAGGTACAAGGACGACCCTCATGGGAACCATCTCCACAGTCCCTGGGAGCTTTCAGAAAGTAAAGGAGATGATATTCAATGGGAGCAGCCCCATATTGATGATGAGACGACAGTTGGCCTGCTGTCTGCCTTGGAAGAATTGGAGCGACCAGGGAATAAAGCAAAGGTAACAGCCATGCTAGAAGAGTAAGAGAGCTTGATCAAATTCTTTCTGGGTAATGTCGGTTTCTTATTGCTTTATAAATGTTTCAGGATCAATACGGTGTTCGAAAGTTAAGTGAGATAGCGCAGAAATCCAACTTCATAAACAGGTAAGTTTTTCCCCCCACCATCCTCTTACATTTATGTTCTTCTGGCACTAACAGGGGTGAATCTAAATCTAAGATCATTATCAGTTAGATTGGTTTCTACTGCTTGAATTATTATTGTGTAACCAAACTGCAAAATCATTTCCTCAGGTTTCCAGTTCCCATTTCTCTCGATTTAATCAAGGCAAGGTTGGAAAACAACTATTACCGAAGTTTGGAGGCATTTCAGCATGACATTGAAGTCATGTTATCAAATGCCAAATTATACATTGGAAAGAATCCAGAGTACTCCAAAAAAATGAATCGTCTTTCAGACCGGCTAAGGAAGGCATTAGGGTAGATACAGGAGAGTAGAACCGGCGCTAGGTGCTTCCTTTCTTTCACTTCTGTAGATAATTTTTTTTTTTTTTTTTTTGTTTCTAATTATAATTTATGATTTGTTTTACTGGGGCTCTTTGATTCAGTTTTGGGATTAGTTATTGTGCTCCTTTAGCTCTTGAGGAATTCGGAGGTAGATGCCTTAGGTTGATGGAAGCCAGGTGACTTTGTATTAGGTGGAAAGTTCTTCGATGGAAGATCATAAAAAGCGCAAGATTTGAGCCGGGAACTGCTCTCTTGCCATCAGATGCACCACACCACAGGTAAGTACAGGTGCTAACAGATTCATTTATTTGCTGATTTCAACACTTCACAAGATGCCAACTAACTACTTGTTGCGGAAGTTGCAAGTTGAAAAGGAAACAATGGCCATATATAAGAACTCGGACTCGGTGTCACTCATGTGCCCAGATTTCGTGAAAGGCAAATGTCGGTCTTACTTTGACGCCTAATAGGCAATTCTCAAATGGGTGTATTTAATGGTCCCGTTGTATTCTAAGCCAGGTTATTATTGTTGCTCGATGTGCAATATTATGCTTTATTTAAGCCCGCTCGAATCACCAAAAGGCGTTTGTCCTTTTGAATGTACTTGTTCACGTGCTCTGTAAGGGGTCTTTTGCTTGTAGGATTTTGATGAGATGACCAAATACATGTTTGTTGAGGTTGAACTATATCCGTGGGGCCCATAAATGTGGGATTTTTGTGGCTCAAAATATGGGACCTCACGAATTATAAAATCTCATCCCATTAGTTAAGATTTTGAGAGTTGCCCAAATTCGTAAACCCCAGACCCCACTAATTATGAATGACTAAAGTATTATTAACAAAAAAATACTTGGGCAAGAAGGTAAACTCATAATTTAATCCATAAATCCAAGATAGTAAAGTCCATTTTGAAATCCGACAAGCAAATATTCAATTTTTAAAACTCAACACAAATTCAACATAGCATAATCCAACATAATCCTTCTACACAAATCCTTCTACACAAATCCTTCATTTTTAACAACCTCTAAGTTCCACGAAATGTAATGGATGGCAGCAAAAGGGGGATTATGGGGATTTTAAGCCCATACTTGGACCACTGAAGGTGCTTAAGAGGGCAGCAAAGCATTATTTTGCTACTCAAAGCCTACTTCTTGTAAATGATAGGCATCACATATGCACCACGATGGGCAGTAAATACACCCTAAAAAGCATTAATTGGCTTCTGAAAGGCCGTGTCAAGCCCAAATCCGACCCACAAAAGGCTACACTAGAATACATTCCACCGCAGCAAGAAACTCTTTGAACTCCACAGCAACCCTGACATTGGAAAACATACACCGCAATCCTTTCCAGCGCCTCAATCTCTCCAGCGATGCCCACAATTTGGGTTGCAACAGACGAAGAACAACGTCATGCCTTCCTCTCCTCTGGCCGTTGCCTGCATTCAGATATTTTTAGCAGTGTAAATTCACATCTATATGTTTTGTACAACATCACAAACTTTGTGGAAGATCCTTTAAGACACCCATTTGCGTGTCCATGTGCAAAAAAGGTAAACCTCTGCAGCAAGTGAACCCTACAAAGAGGGTGTAGAAATAAAATAAAAGTATAACAATTAACAGACAAGCATAAGATAGGATGCAGGCTCAGAGCTCCTTTTGTGCAGTCCATTCATAATAACTAGTCGCCAGGAGTGCATCCAAAAATAGGATGCAGGGTATGGAGTTCAAGCAACTGAAATAGGACCAAAGAAGATAAAACTAGTATCTGGAATTGGAGCATCTTTGCTCGTGTAGACGAAACAGATGCACAACTGTGACAAACCCTTCTAAGTTTCATGCATGTTTTCAGCTGAAGCCTGACATCTCTGGATGTGGTATACCAGTGGGCATGATTTCAGCCTAACTATTATATTTCCAGATCTAGCCACTGAAAGTATGCTGTTCATGAAATATATCCTCTTACTTATGGCCTGTAAGTGGCTAAGAGGTACTCAAAGTACCCACTCAGACAGCAAAGACTTACAACACCTCCTAGCTATACTTTTAGACCACAATCAAAACAAAAGGAAACAAAAAAAGGAATCTGAAATAAGCATATGTGCGGCCTACTAGGCAACATGTCACTGTAACTAGATACAACTTAGATAACCTGTCAAAATGTGTGACACAACCTTGAAAACTGATGGCAGCAATGTCATTCCATTTAAAAATTATTCAGAAAAAGTTGAATGGAATAGATAGAGAAAGTAGGTGCAAAAGGATGCAGCTAATGTGATCAAATTTTGGTAAAGCAGAACATAATGAATATTAAACTCCTGATAGAAAACAGGCAAGCCCGATATTCCTCTCAACTCCTTTTTCATTTCGAAATATATTCATCACTAGGATGGATAACACATGGCCGACTCGTCTAATGTGCTATAGTTGGTACGCAATATTTCAGCCCAGTTGCGTGATCCCTCACAATGAAGAGAATATGGTGTTCATGAAGCATAATTTTCCATATGGAATGCAAGATGCACAAATACAGACATCTAGAACGTAACCACAAGTTTTAATAGCTCGTTAATTCCTACGCAGACATGTAAAGACTTGAAACACTTATAAGCACACCAATCAGCTAATATTTAGTCTACATCCGGAGGAAAAATGATACAGAAAAGGAAACTACAGGAGAGCAACTACATTGTTATGATTTCTGTAAAAATTCATGGAACCATAGTCAGGATCGAAAACTAACCTGGAAAAACACAGCTTCGTGATGCTTACACTCAGCACATTGAACATCTTTAGTGCGAGGGAGAGTAGGATCTGCTGCTACATCTTGCAATACCTGGGTGCGTTCTGCTGCAGAGTGATGCACCTCATTTCTATAAACACAGTAGTTTTCTGCAACTTCCTGCAATATGTTCAAAGTATAACACATATCTGAGTAACACATCTAAATTTCTAATACATTGGGAGATTGCAACAAAAACAAAACTGCTAACACAATTATAAAGGGATAAACAAGAAACTACCAAATATGCCAATGAAGCATTCTTTGGTCCCATGCAGTAATGACTAAATTGTTATACCTTGTACCATATGACTGTATGTAAGAGAGATGTCCATGGAAAAACTAAAACCAAAAGGTAAACTGACAGCGAACTTCTTGCTCAAATACCAAATGAGCAACCAGTCACGACAAGGGCCATCAGGAATATCAGATGATGAAGCATTAACAAGAGAAGTCAGCCCGAGAAAGAAAAAACAAAATCAAGATGAAACCACGCAACTCTTCTGCATTCGGACTAGAAAACAATTAATGAATAATGAGAGTCTTCTACTCCATTTTCACAAAGCATAACGCCAGCTTCTGTTGTGCCTTTGGTAATCAAAGCTCAAATCCATTTACATCAAATCTTGTTCACTATGTAACAGAGCACAGACAGATCATACCTCTAAATAGATAGGTCATGCCATTAGGGTTCTAGAGCCTAAATCTAATATATAAAATACCGTTTCTATGAAAGGAAAGAAAATCCTTAAATTACGAACTACCCACTTAGAACAGCTAGGAATGCAACAAAAGCAAAGATAGAAGTACAACCGCGCATCTCTTCTTTCCCGTTCAACCTAGAACAAAATGTAGGAGTAAATCCTACAACACTCTAACGCAGCACACATTCAATGTGCGCTCTGCTTTTTCAACCTCACATGCATTATCACATCTGAAACACCTCTCCAGCAACGCATTTACCTCTCGATCGAACTGTCCAAAACCCTAGCATTTCATACAGGACGGGAAGAACAGAAATGGACGCGTAAACGAGAGACGAAAGGGAGAATCGGGAGAATCGGGAGACGGTACCTGGTGGTCGCAGTTCCGACAAGCGTAGAGGAGCAACTTCTGATCCCTGTCCTCCTTAGGGTAAAGAATGTTGTTGCTGCATCAAAGAAATTCCAGAGAAGTAGAAAAACTTGACAACGGTTTCTGCTACCGAGAATGAAGAAGCGCAGAAGAGAAAGAAGCGAAAGGAAGAAGCGAGAAGAGAGCTTACCATTCGCGGCAGAATTTCATGGTACTCATCTTTGCGGAACTTCTGAAAGTTGCAGAGAGACGAAGAGAGGCGACTGCAGAGAATCGAGCGTGTTGGCGGGACGGGAGAGGAACTTCGGTACTTTCACCTCCGTCGACTCGAGTGGGTGAGTGGGAATAATGTGGTGAGTGTACATGGGCGCTGGGCCGTGCTTGGGCCGGCACGGCACGGGCATGCTTCGGGCCTATTTATTTCGTGCCGTGCTTGGCAAGCCCATTTGTTAACTTTGCTACACGGTTCGAATCGTGTCGTGCCTATTCGTGCTCGTGTCATGCTCGTATTCGTGTTTAATGAAAAGGACGAAAACAAAAGAGAGAATGAAAAAGAAGGTGAAAATTGGACGGAGGAAGATAGTATTAACAACTAATGTTTGAGAAAAGTAACAAATCGGGGGGAAAGAAAATTGGGCCTAAGTTCAGGTCCTTAAACCTTCTTTTTTAAAGAGGATCTTAAAGGGATGTGATTGGCTGATTCTATTTTAGGTAGTTAGTGAGGAGTTATTAGTTAATTAGTTGTTAGGGATATGTAGGGAATTATAATTAAATTAAAAACGTAACCCTAGTGATGTATAAACGGACAAAGTCTTTTTATTCCTCCCTATCAGCCGAACCGTTTCTTTGTCAACACTCTCTCAAAACAATGGTCGTCCCTTCCGCTTCCTTCTCCGGCCGGCCCTTCTGCACCCGCAAACGTTCTCCGCCGTCATTCTCCACCAAATCCAAAGCCCAGCTTCCGTTCCGCCGTCTACTCCCGCAACGTTCTCCACCAAATCTGAAGCCTAGCTTCCGTTCCACTGTCTGCTCCCGCAAGAGTTTTCCAATTATGAATGTTATTGGACTGCACTTTTAATTTTGTTGCATGGGTAGGGTTTTGCGTCGTTGCATGGGTAATCTTTTGTATTAGGATTTTTACTAATAAAGTTTATTCTCAATTTACATATTAACGCTTTGTAATCTTGTAAAGCTCTATTGTCAATGTTTTTACCCGACCACTAGACAACAATTATAAACAAATCATTTCGTTATTAACAATTTTAGGTTATGTTTGTAACTTTGTTCAATGGAATTATCAACGTTATCAATGTTTTATAAGGTGGTTATTATTGATATGTTCTATGGTTAATCATCAATAGGTTTAATCAATATCAATTATTTTGAATGCATGTTCAACAGAACACATATATGTTATGGGTTATAGGTATAATATGCCCCTCTACTATGACGTTTTATCAAACATGCCCCTCAACTATTTTTTACATCAAACATGCCCCTGTACTTTGTAAAAATGATCAAACATGCCCTTTTGTTAAAATTTTCATCCAAAAACCGTTAGCCAAGGCCGAACTTTAGTTTGGATGACACAAATGACTAAAATATCCCTAATAAATTCACTTTAGAATTTTTTTGGTTCTTTTGTATAATCAAATCATTCAAATAATTTCACTTTGAAAAGACCCAGGGAAATAAAACAGGGGACAAAACTGACATTTTCCCTCCCATTTGCTGATGTCGGGTCGTCTAAATCTCAATTCAACCATGATTGACGATTTTTTCAATGGAAATTTCAACAGAAGGGCATGTTTGATAATTTTTTCAAAGTACAGGGGCATATTTGATGTAAAAAATAGTAGAGGGGCATGTTTGATAAAACGTCATAGTTGAGGGGCATATTATATCTATAACCCATATGTTATTAATGGTTTATGATATGGTTGTCAACATCTTTTTGTTGTGATTCTACTTTTTTAAAGGTTGCAGGAATATCGAGAACTAAGGACACGTCACCTAAGATTGTTTCACCTCCACCTAGTCACCAGAGTACAATCCAGAAGCTAAGAGCATATGAGAATAATAAAGATAGCTAGAGTGAGTTGGACTGTTGGAGATTGTTCTACCTAGACACCAGAGAACAATAATGTAAAGTGATATCAATTTCTCGCAAAATGTTAATAATGTCATTAGAATTCATTGTACGAGGTCATGATTGACTAGCTATGAACATGATGTGGAAATGTGAATCGTTAATAAATATGCTCTAAATCAATGATAATGATACTTAAATCATTAATAATGATGTGGTATCTTTAATAATTTATTCATAAGCGTTGATGATGGAAATATAAATCGGCAATAATTTATCCAAAATTATTAATAATGTGATTGTAAAGAATTGATAAGTGTACTGAAATTGTTAATAGTGATGGGTTGATGATGAAATTGTTAATTTTTTATATCATAAGCGTTGATGACGAAAATGTCAACATTTTTATGCCTCCTATTAATACTATACTATTATTAACTTATGTAACATAATTATCAACTAAGTTGAACGAACATCAAAGTTCAGAGTATTAACATTTTTTTAAGCCTGTTAATATTCTAATATACTATTATTAACGTTCAATCATAAACCTATTAATAATATTATTGAAGAGAATCAACTTAATGCAACTCATCATTAACAATAGAAAGGGGTCCTTAAGGGCCGCTTTATTAACAAAAACTCGTTTTTTTCCCAACGTAAGATCTTATACTGTTAACGTTTTTTCAACCATAAGAGTTTATAATATTAATGTTTTTTTAGCCTCCTATTAAATATAATATATGATTATTAACCTATGCAACATATCATTAATGAAGTTCAACGATCATAAGAGTTTAGGCCATTAACGTTTTTTTGTTTCTTATTAATATTATAATATACTATAATTAACGTTCAAACATAGACTTGTTAATAATGTTATGGAAGGGAATCAACTTTATGAAACTCGCCATTAGTAATAAAAATGTGTTGTTAAGTACCGCATTATTAACAAAAACTAGTCCTCTTTCAACGTCAACCATGCAAAACGAAGCAACAACATATACCTACAACAAAGATGTTTTGTATCACAAACTGTGGAGATTAAAGGGAACGCCGCCAGCCACAAGCCTCCATCCGACCGATACCTCCTCACTTGTAGGCGTCGTCGGGGAAAGGCTACACCGCCGCTGATATGGCAGGATCAATGGTGCTAATATGGCGTCGGGATGGCGGCGAGATGGTGGTGACACTGCTGCCTTTGCCGATAAAAGTACTAGCAGGCGTTGGCACGATCGCCGATCGGGGGACCGAACGCGGGTGCCAATGGGAGGTTGGTTGCAAGATGGTGAAATGGTTGTCGGCGACGGATGGGTGGACTCAAGAAAAATGACGGAGAGAATAGTCTTAGGTTTTTTTATTATTACCTTTTTCCACTTTTTTATTTAAATATTCATTATATTAATGATGGTTATACAATACCAATTCTATCCTTAACTACCTGTTAACAGCTAACTCCCTATTAACTCTCTAGATTCAAACCAGCCAATAAGAAAGCTTTAAGAAACTCCTTAAGCTTATAGGCTTAAGGACTGGATCTGACCCGAGAAAATTGGAAGTATAGCGAGTGTGATTTGGCTTTGTTTAATTCTTTGTTCATTTTTACTTATGTTAGTAATTACGTATATATCTTTATGACACTTCTAACAATAACAAATAATTATTTTTCTACTTGTGTTTTGTAATATTTGAACCTATAATTCTTTTTACATTTATTTTCTATCAAATAAATATTATTTTCGTGTCATGTCCGTTCTTATACTCAATAAAGTTTAGAAAATATTAGGCCCGACACGACCCACTTATATATCGTGCCGTGCCCGTGCTCATGAAGTTTAGGCCCGGCACGACCCATAAATTATTCGTGCTCGTGCCGGGCTGGCCCATTTATTTCGTGCTCGTGCTCGTGTCGTGCTCTAACCGTGCCGTGTCGTGCTAGCCCGTGGGCGGCACGGCCCGGTGCCCACGTACAGTGGTGAGAGTACTACGTACTACTAGGGTGGGCAACGATTTGGTTCGCATCAGTCAGAATTATACCGAATCGACTCTCACATAGAATCGGATCGATCTGTTCATCTTTCTATTCGATTTGGGTTTCTAAATTTGGAGAGTTTTTTGTTTTGGTACGGTCTGGACCAAAATCGTAAAATCAAACTAAGGACCGGACCGTAACTAAACTAATTGTTTATTATATTATGCTCCTACAAGGCAAGTCAATTTGGAGTTGAAAACCCTAGTACCCTACACGACACTTAACTACTTATAAATATGATTTACTTTTCCCTGACTTAGACTCACGCCGCTCTTCTAGTCCTACCCTCAAATCGGTGTTCTGATTGGCGTTGCTTCGATCAAGTCTAAGTGAGAGCTGCTTACTTCACCTATGGTCAACTGGGTATGTATGAATATGACTAGATGATAATAATCCTTCTATCATTCATATGTTTTTTCATTAATTGTGGAGTATTTAAATTGGGATAATTTGATTACTTCCTTTTTGTTTAGTTACTTTTATTTTAATTCTTGTGTTGTCCTTTAAGAATAATCTTATTCGAATGGTAGGATTAGTTGGTCTAATGGGATGGTCCAGACCGAATCAAACAATATATGGTTTGATCCAGATCGAATCAAAGAAATAACGATTCGATTTTGATCCTTGATTTAGAAGATATTTTGGTCTGGTCCGAAGATATTTTGGTTCGGTCTTGGATTGGATCGACCGATGCCCACCCTTAGTCACTACTCACTAGTGACTAAGCTACAGCATCCAGAAGTTTCTTTACTATCGCTGGATTTTCTAATATTAGGCCCAGGCCCAATTCATCAGAATAAACATTAGTAAAAGCCCAAACCCCACTACACGCGGCAAACTGCATTTGCTGATTAACATCATCATAACTTTATGATTGCTCGGACTATGAAATACGAAGGTCCCTTATTATCCCGTCAATATCTACTCTCTACAACGATCCCAAAAGCAAAAACTGGAAAATTTTGTACATGGTCTCACTATAAATCTCTACTTCAATCGAGTCGCACACATTCAAGAGGATTTCACCTCGAACTAATAAGAAATGTGCTTGTTAATAATGACATCACTTGCAAGTGAATTCAAAGCATGGATATTACTTTATGCACTCAAATTTCTTCAAAATAACGACGTCAAATGCAAGAAGCTCATAAGCATTCACCAAACTGACTGGCACATTCAAATTCAAGAACACTGGCCGAGCAAGAGAACAACAATACCAGACTCGCAAGCTCAAACAACTAA